GTGGTGGGGGTGGCTGGTGCTGGTGCTGGTGCTGGTGCTGGTGCTGGTGCTGGTGCTGGTGCTGGTGCTGGTGCTGGTGCTGGTGCTGGTGCTGGTGCTGGTGCTGGCGTTTGGGCGGCTGTGGCGGCAGTGGTGTGGTGGTGGTCCCTGCATGGTGACGATTTTTACGGCACGGTGATGATGATGCTGATAATCATGATCATATCTGGTCATACTACACGGTGGCGATGATTGTCTTGGTCGTAGTAGTGGCTGTGGCTAAGATACTGACGATGTCGACGACGATGAAGGACGAAGCTGCTAATTGTGAGAAGAAGACATTAGCCGCCATCATCATCTTCGTCATCATCAGCGTCATCACCTCAACAACATACCCTTGGGCATCATCATCATCATCAGCAGCAGCATATCCTCCGTCATCTTCCACTCTTGTTTTATCATCGTCTGGTGCGCTCATCCGTCAATGTCTCCAAGTATCTGTGCAACAGCCCGCTTCAACTCAGACCGTGGCTGCCCGATGGGCCGTCGGCGAGCGACAGTAGCGCTTGAGAGGATGTGGCAGAGGAGCAGGTCAGCTGATACAGGGTTTAGAGTCTCGAACTTGCACGGCTCGTAGGACCGTCGAATACTTCGAGTTAGGTGCTTCAGCATGCTGGGCTATGGCTCTTGAACATTCTACTGGCACCCTGAACCCGGGTTGCTGGTCACGGCCTTGGCTCGGACTCTCTTTCGGCAAAGGGTCTGTAAAATCGATGACAGCTGCTGGACTCAGGACCCAAGCAGCTGCACCCTGTTTTCTAAGCGAGAAACTAACTGCTACGGCTAGGGCTTAGTTTTTTCCTGGATGAAGGTAGATGAACATGGGTTTAGGGTTTAGGGTTTAGGGTTTAGGGTTGATAGACTCTCTTGCTCCAGTTTTCGCAGCTACAACTGCAGCCTCTTTCGCTATGGCAGCTCAGCGCTTGCCGAGGGCGATCAGTGGAACACCGGCGTACTGCAAAGGCTTCAGCCTGAGCCACGAAAGCGAAAGCGACAAACCCCAAAGCCTGAAACCCTGAGGCCCCCCATGGGTTTCACAGGCGCTGAAACCTGAACCCCAGGGTTTAGGGTTCAGGGTTTGGGGTTTAGGGTTTAGGGTTTAGGTCCTGCTAAACACTGAACCCTAAACCGCCTTCTCGATTCAATAGTGGTGGGAAACGCCTTTCAAGCTTAATCCCGGCAGCCGAGTGGGCCTTGCGCAGCAAAGGGAACCGTTACCGATGCAGACTTTACGAGTCGTGGTACACCTTAAACCCTGCCAAGCCCGAAATCCTAAATGTGTTTAACCCTGAACCGAAATCCTTAACTCCTCAGACCCTAAGCTGCTGCAACCCCAAACCCTAAAACCTCTAAACGCCTTAAACCCCAAACCCCTAAACCCCCTAAATCGCAGATCTTCGGCTTAGCTCACAGCTCTCCGCTGGGTCCAATCTTCGCTTCCTTGACATCCTCAAGGAAGTCTGCTCCGCTGCCCACCTTTCTTCTGAATCATTGGAACCGAACATTTGGAGATAGCAAGGGCCTGTTGGGTTTTATGAAGATTTTTTGGAAAAATATTGGAATCGGCTGCAAAATGGAATTGTGTGTACAAGGAACAGCGGCTCTACGCTCCGGCGTTATCATCATAACTGCAACAGTGGGTGAGTAGACGGCAGCTCAAGAGCCGACTTCCAGACCCTAAACCTCAAAACGCCTAGGCCCTAAACCCTTAAGACAAGCCCTAAGTCCCAAACCGACTAGTAGCCCTTGAAACCTCGAAGACGAGACTTTGGAAAACTCTCGCCGCACCGGCCTTGCAGACGCCACCCCGCAGCGCAGCGAGATCCTTCAGCTACAGCCTACGAAAGGCCCTTGCCTAATGTAGGGGCCAGAGTAATTAGAAAAGTGTTTTGGGGTAGATTATACTATAGTCATAAAAAGGAACCCCCAAAATAGTATAGGTAATTATTTAAGCCCCTATCTAACCGTTCGGGTTTGCCCCTATCTAACCGTTCGGGTTTGGTTTCGGATTTCGCTTACTGCAAATGTGGGCACCTGCACACAGGAACCGACTAGCTCCCTAGCTTGACTTTTGCAGCTTGCACCTAAACCCTAAACCCTCAACCCTATGAGCCCTAAACCCTAAACCCTAAACCCTAAACCCTAAACCCTATGAGCCCTAAACCCTAAACCCTAAACCCTCTGCGAGATCCTTGTCGCCAGGATCCGGAAGCGCTTTCAGGGTGTGGACATCCTCAGGCTGCGATAGCTCAGAACGAGCTCCCAGTTTCACTCGAGCATACTTACAAAATATGCGTGTGTATACATGTATACATATAGATAGATAGATAGATAGATAGATAGATAGATAGACAGATAGATAGATAGATAGATAGATAGGTAGATAGATAGATAGATAGATAGATAGATAGAGACAGATCTATGTACAGATTGATATATATGTATATATAAATACACGATGCACATATAGAAATATAAATATACATGTAAGGACTGCGCACCTGGCACGTTCTCCCAGCGGAAACCCTTAATAACGACCTCGTGATCAAATCTCTAACCCCTGGGACCCTGAAGCCCGCAAAACCCGACGCCCCCAATTGCAAAGTCTGTGTCCTGCCAACTTTCCAGAAGCCCATACCCCCCCTACCCTATAGTACCCACAAAGGGGACCCGATTTTGTTACCCCATTGTACCCTTAAAGGGAACCCAACTGTAGTACCCTAAAAGCCGCGAATCTCCCATCGCTACTACACAGCAGCACTACAACAGAAACACAGGTGGCATGGCTACGACGATGCGACCGCGCAGGCAAAGCTAAGGCTGCAAGTGGAAACAACATAAGTTTAAGAATCAAACCCTAAACCCTACACCCTAA